GGTTCATTGCTGTTTACCAGCCTGCTTCACAAAGGAGGAGGATGACTATCCTGGGGAATCAAAACCTCAGAGTGACGGCCTCCAGGGAGAAGGGCATCATTTAAGGAACTTTAAAATACGATATTTTGGGGAAGAGAAAATAAGCCATGTGGGAGATCTGCTATCCACAAAAGGAACTTGGATGCATGTGAACAAACTGGCAGTGTTGGACAAAGCTAAAGAGAACTAATCCTGGGCGATGGGAACACATAAATCAGAGCTGAGCTCAAGTATTTTGAGAATCTGCTATTATTCAGAAAAGGATAAATATGTTGACTTGCTTTTTTTTGTTGTTGTTTTGTTTGACAGGGTTTCTCTGTGGTTTTGGAGCCTGTCCTGGAACTAGCTCTTGTAGACCAGGCTGGTCTCGAACTCACAGAGATCCGCCTGCCTCTCCCTCCCAAGTGCTGGGATTAAAGGCGTGCGCCACCACTGCTTGGCTGTTGACTTGCTTTTAACTTTAAAGATAATATGGATATTTAAGTGTACAAATATCTCTTACAGTCATACATAAACATGTAAACTTCCAAACTAGGGGAAAATAGAAAATATAGGAATAGGAAAGACACCAGTCTTTTCCAATGTATTTTTTAAAAAATATCGAGGAACTCAAGTCTCTCACCCTTCATTCAGTGAAAATCTGAGGCACTATTACTCACTAATTTTCTTAGGTATCTTTAAAAGCATTCCAAGATTTAATCATTTTGTTCAAACTCTCAATATAGAGATCTCTGTTATGATGGCCTACAAATGGAAAACTAAATGTGGTTTCTATCACTTTATCAAAACAACCCTTTCTTTTATGCAGAGTTTAAAAATTAGAATTATAAGCAGAACCATATTTTCCTATCACAAATTATGTGTTCATTACCCTGACCTATTGATATTGAAATGCTTTCATCTATCTAACTAAAAAAAAAAAAAGGAAAAGAGAAAAAGCAGAAGATACCTGAAGACCAACACCCAGGATTGTTTTTGACCACACACATACATGTATGCCCACATGTACACAAAAGCTAATTCAACACCAAAAATTTTATATTCAAAATTGAATATAACATTTGAGACGATAAACTATGTATGAGGTCATTTGACAAATTTTAATGCAATATCTAGATCACATTTTACCAATACAATTTAGTTCAGTTGTTCCTTTCTTTATTAACTTTTTAGGTAGCTTGCAAAATAAAGATTTTATCATGATAGTGTCACATATACATATCACTGCATAGCTTTTGTTGACCTTTGTTGACCCTGTTATTGCCTTCCCCATCCTATCTCCTCCATTCTTGCTAGTCCACTGTCTTACCTAGCAAAAGTCCCTTTATGTATTCTAGTAACATGTGTGTGTGTTTACCCATGTCTTCCATCTGCATTTGAAAGAAAACATGTAAGATTTTGTTTTTTTCCTCCATTGTCATCTCTAGTCTCTCCCATTCAGATATAAATTCTAATAACATGTTTGCTACTCATTGTGATTTTCTGTGTGTTTTCTTTTTTTCACTCTAGATTCTAAAGTTGTCTTTTAGTTTGGGAGGTTGGAGTCATTTTCTTTTAAACTTTTTTTTAATTTATTAGATTTTTTTAAAAAAATATACCAAGGGGCTGGAGAGATGGCTCAGTGGTTAAGAGCATTGCCTGTTCTTCCAAAGGTCCTGAGTTCAATTCCCGGCAACCACATGGTGGCTCACAACCATCTGTAATGAGGTCTGGTGCCCTCTTCTGGCCTGCAGGCATACACACAGACAGAATATTGTATACATAATAAATAAATAAATATTAAAAAAATATACCAATCCAAGTTCTTACTCCTTCCCCTCCTCCCATTTCCTCCACACATCCTCCCTCCCCACCCCCCAGCCAATCTTCATAGAAGGTAAGGCATATTGTTTTGTGGAAGGTCCAAGGCCCTCCCTACTATATCTAGGCTGAGCAATGTATACATCCAAAGATAATAGGATTCCAAGAAGCCAGTACAAGCAGTAGGGATAAATCCTGGTGACACTACCAGCGGCCCCTCAGTCTGCCCCAGCAATTCAACTGTCAACAAAATTCAGAGTGACTAGTTTGGTCCTGTGCTTGTTCCTTCCCAGTCTCGCTGGAGTTGGTGAGATTCTATTAGCTCAGGTAGACTGTTTCAGTGGGTGAACCAATCATGGTCTTGACCTCTTTGCTCATATTCTCTTTCCTTCCACTCTTCAACTGGACTTTGGGAGCTCAGTCCAGTGCTCTGCTATGGGTCTCTGCCTCTGTTTCCATCAGTTGCTAGATGAAGGTTCTATGGTGATATTTAAGATATTCATCAGTCTGACTACAGGGCAAGTCAAGATCGGGGCCCCTCTCCTCTATTGCTTATGGTCTTTGCTGGGGTCATCCTGTGGATTCCTGGGAATTTCTCTAGAGCCAGGCTCGTGCTAACCCTATAATGGCTCCCTCAATCAAGATGTCCCTTTTCTTCTTCTCATCTCTGTCCTTTCTCCATCTCAACTATCCCATTCTCTCAAGTTTTTGTCAACCCCCCCTACTTCCCTCCTCTTCCCCTTCTACCCTTTTTGTCCCCCCCCCACCCCCATGCTCCCAATTTTGTCAGGTGATCTTGTCTGTTTCCAATTTCCAGGTGGATCTATATGTTTTTCTTAGAGTTCACCTTATTACTTAGCTTCTCTAGGATCATGAACTATAGGCTCAATGTCCTTTGTTTATACTTAGTATCCACTTATGAGAGAGTACATACCTTATTCATCTTTTGGGGGCCTGGGTTACCTCAATCAGGATAGTGTTAGTCTAAACATTAATATAAATTCTCAAAATTTGTTCAATCTCAAGAATAAAAAGTAACCAGGTTGTTCTCTATTCTATAATTATGTAAGAACCATTTCGATTTGAGTTTTAAGATTCCTTTTTGCATTGCTCTCCTGGCTGGAGATGGCTGTCGTAAATGGGCAAAACTTGTCATGCACCACTACCAGTCTCCGTGAGTAGACAAGAGCACTTCCCTCTTGATGCTCAGCGCATTTCTAGCATTTGTGTTCCCTTAAAGTCTGCCAGTAAGAGCAAGCAGAGCTCTATTCTCCTGCTTCCCAACACCGCTGCGGTAGCTTTCTGTCTCTAGAAAGATTTGGTACCACATAATGGAGAATGGTATTGCACCCTCCACTGTGAACAAGCTTCATGAGTATTTTAACTGATATAAAATAGTTAGAAACTGGCATATAAATAACACCTGCTGTCTTGGGTATTCTCCTGTTGTGATAAAATACCTTCCCAAATGAATTTGAGTAAGAGAGAGCTGGTTCTGGCTCACAGTTCGGGGTGCAGTCCATCATAGTGAGGAAGTCCTGGCAGCAGGAGATTGAAGCCGCTGGTCACATTCCATCAGGAGCAGGAAGCAGAGAACAGTAACTGCAGGTGCACACACAGCCCTCACCTTTTAAACCATCAAACCTCAAAGGCAGCATGCCAAGGGTTTCCTACTGTGGGAGCTTCCCCTGAAGGAACTTGCAGTTTTGCACTGATGAGTCTCTCCCTCTGCGCGGTGTCAGCGAAGTCTGCACTCACAGGATAAGGGCTCAGCATTCCCAGGGATGTCTCCTCAGCTGCTTAATGATGTTGTCCCCATTACAGTGAGGTGAACAGTGGACTAACGGTAGACGATCTGATTCACCATGGCACTTAGAACACAGTGTCTCCATTCATATCCCAACCTCATTGTGATAGGTACATGTGGGATCTGATGAAAACACTGACTGTGCTTTCAAAGGTTTGTAGCATTTTGAGACTATCCCTTGTGGTTATCTCTAAAGTCTTGAGCTGTGTGAACTAGGGAGACAAAGTACTTTTATTAAAAATAATTCATGGCTATAGTTTGAGCAACGCCTAGGAATATTGCCCTTTTAGCTGATTTATTGCCTTCATCCTATATCTTTTATGAAGCATCTATTTTGTATGTTGTTTTAGCTACATAATAAACCTAGGCAGGTACAAGCTTAAAAAAAATAAATCTCTAAAATGTAGAGACACTAGCTGGGCATACGCCAAGTGGTTGGTTTATGCCATTCAACCTTTGATTTCTGTGTATAGAAGTGAATTGATATAGTTCAAATAGTATGACCTCTTATAATACAAAATTAGAGACATTTAGAATCAAGTTGCCAATCTGTCAGTGCCATATGGCGTCAGTATTATTTAAACCAAACTCAGGTTAACATTCTTTCCAAGATTATATTTTCTAATGGCTTAGATGCCTAAATATCTTTAACTTCATGCCTTATTGGCTACCGTATCTTCTTCTAAATGTGGGCATCTACACATGTTTTGTAATCATTAAAATACAGTGAAATAAAATTCAGTGACAAATAAAAATGGGGGGTTATAATAGATGGGACTGACTTTTATTCTGTTTTCAGCTGAAAGATAAGTGTAGCAGCACAGCCATGCTCTCGCCTGGGCTACATCACAACCCTCACATACACACAAAAGATACAAGAAATAATATTAGGAAGAAAGTTCTCATTTCAAAGAGATAATTTCTTTTTCAAAGTGGTAAACATAATGTACAATTGTTATAATTTTAGAAAACTATTTTGCAATCTTCCTAACATAAATATCTTTCAGAACATCTATTTCATTCTCAGAACTTACGAAAAAAGAACATATATGATATAATATATAAAAGACTTACAATTTAATAGTAAGAGAAGATAAAAATACCAATAAATGTAGCTGTACCCAGAGCAGAAGGTTCTTGTCTCTTCACGTTTCTTAGAAAGACATGAGCTCTTGTTTGCTAAAGCATCTTCAACCTACCTTCCTCTCCAGGAGAGCTGAGGCTGCTTCAGAACCAGGCTGACATATGCTAAGCCATTAGTCTGCTTTTCACTTTCTAGCTGTGGATTCAAACACGGGCCTGTGCTTCCAGGCTCCTGTGCCCTAAGACCCATCCTTCTGTCCTCTCACTACAGAGTCATCGGAATTTGGCCCATCCCTGGTGATCCATACCACTGTCCCATTTGGAGTTACGCACTTGGAGCGCAGTGAGGAGGACGTGCAGGAGTTAATCAGCCAGCAGCTGGAAGCCATTCTGCCGGGTTTGCCTCAGCCGGTTGCTACCAAGTGCCAGAAGTGGAGATATTCGCAGGTAATCAGAGAAGAGAGTGGCAGAATGGAGGCGTTTTCCGGGTCAACTGTTTTCTAGCAAAACTGATGTCACTTTGTGTTCCTCACCATTCTCTAACAGGAGAAATGAATGGTGGCATCTTTAAGGTTAATCCGGGTTTGTCATCCACACGTGTAATTTCCACAGGTGCCAGAGTCCCGCTACTTCTCAATGAGATGCCCATGGCACTTTTACCAGTTTTGCCCACAACCCAGCACATCCTGAAATTCTGGGTTTCCTATGCAGGCAAGAAAGCTTCTACATCCAAAGGCAGCTCTGCGGATCTTCCTAATTGGCACCGTGGCTGCATGGGAGCCATTTTATCTACCCAGATTTTTTTAAGTCTGTCACTTTAACACTATGTGCATAGGTAGTTGCCAGCATTTTTTTTTTTATTGAGTTTTTACTTCAGTTTGAGTGGTGACAGCGGAGGCCTTTCGTGAGTAAGTCTAGAATACCGAACTGAGCTGCCTTCCAGGGTAAGCTAACCCTGCTTATCATTCTTCTTAATACAGAGTAAATCTTGACTTAAACACACACACACACACTTTTACTAGAGTTGGAATACTGTCACAGAAATGTCTTTGGATCTGTAAACTCAGCTGGGAAGTCATGTGGGGGTCAATGACGCAAAGGTCGGATAGAGTGAAGATGAAAAGACACAGAGACTTGCGTTTTCCCCCAGGGTTTCTGAGGCCATTGATTAGCAGATTTGTGAGTGCTTATTGGTTATCCAAGCTGTAAAACCTTCAGAAAAAAGTGGTGTTATGGGAAATCGCAGCAGATTTTGTATGTTTTAAAGAGCTTTCCAAATTAGAGGAAATAGTAAATTACTCACTAAAATATTGCAGCAGGTCTGTGTTTACCCATATCTTCTCAAGTTAAATTATACAGTGAACCTTAGGGGAAAATATTTACTTAAGCATGTCATGGTCACTTTAGAAGACTTTGCCCTTTCCTTTTAAGAGTGCTGGAAAAAAATCTCAATAACTAGTGTCTCTAAATGATATTTAACGCAATTTTAGGTTGACTTGAAAAGGAAAACGGAGAAAGAATCTTGGGATAGTTTGAAGCTGGGTGTATTGTACATAACTCGTTTTGCCTATTGCAAATCTTCCTGTGAAAGTAGTTTGTGAAGTTTCTTTTTCTGCTTTTCTCATAAACAATTTACTAATTGGCTAAAAAAAATGGCTTTTGAAATCTACTCATTTCTTACAAGTTGATAGCCTTCTAAAAGTAGACTTGTCCTGATCACACGAAAGGTTGTACAATATCACAAAACTTAATAAGAGATTATTTTTGAACGTCATGCATATCTGAACTCTAACAATGGCTCTAATTGCAATTTGGGTGTTGAAATCATTCCACTGTACTTATAAATCTGTAGACTTGGAAGCTACACTGACTGCAAAGTCTGAAGGGAGACAAGCTGTTGTCCAGGCTTTAAATACTGTATTTTTCACTGTTCATACACTTCCCTAGGCTCATGAATGCCAGTCTCCAAAGAGTAACATTGTTATTTGTGGTGAATATCTCACCTATACACATTAGAAAAGAGGAATGACCAATGAAAGATCAAGTAACTTAAAATAATTTACTTACTTTTAGATACTTTCCTTAAACAATGTGTTCCCAGTGCTTCTCAAAGGTCCATCCTAACCTTTGGAATTTGACAGACATGTGTATACCCTAAGCCCTGCCATGTGGTACAAGTGGCCTTGTTGCAATTAATTAATGTACATTTGTGTGGAAGTTGGATATAATACAGTACTAAACTCATAAGAAGAAGAATATAAACCAGAGACACAAAAAAGAGGATCGGGGGCTACATTTTCTTTGCCTCCCCACCTGTCTGAACAGATACAGCACTTTTGAGGAGGAAACCCCACCACCATTTCTGTCTAGAACAGGTTCCACTCTGTGTTCCTTCTGTCTCTCCTCCCTTCTCTTCCTTCTCCACATATCATCTCATTCCTTTTCTTCTCTTTTTTTTGAAAGACAAAATGCCAGAGCCCTACACACCTTTATATTAGGAAAGCTTCTGTAGACTATAGAGCGAGAATCTCTGTCCCAAATGGTACTGGGTGGTAGCAGTTCCCTATCCTAGTCCCTGCAGGATCAATACTTTCTTTCCATGAATTCCTTTTCTTCTTTTTCTCTCCTTTTGGGACACTTGAACTGTATCCTAAGTGCTATAGGAAGGTGAAGGGACAGGACTCGAAGCTGGGTAACTCAAAGGCATGATCTTATTTAATGTCAAAGGGACACACAATTGGAATAGCCAAAATGCAAAAGCCTGATACATGCAATGTTATTAAGAAACAGCAGTGGTAACTCTCACTCATGACCGGTGGAAATACAAACTAGTAGAGGCATAAGTAGGCCGGTAAGTAGCTTTCTAGAAAGCCAGACAGGTGAGAAGGATTGAAGAATAGCTAGGCTAGCAAGGATTTTTTAAGGTACTGAAAATATTCAGATGCTATGATAGTAAATTAAATTATACACTTGTCCTAATCCATAGATATACAGTATTTGAGATGAATCCTAATATAAGGTATGGACTTGAGGTATTTTATTTTTCTCCCTGCTATGACAAAATACCAATATAAAGACAGTTTAAAGAAATAACAGCGATCTGGAGAGTCAGATTATGGTTTGAGGGATTCCAATCCATCATGGCACAGCAGAGGAGCACAGGGCAAATAAACAACGTATTCCTGCAGAAAACGTATTTACAGAAAAGAGGTGAATGCTGATTCTCAGGACACTTTCTCTTTGCCCTCTAGAATCATTCTAGAAACTTAGACCCTGGGAACATTCCACCCATATTTAAGATGTGTCTTCTCTGCTTAAACATCTCTGGTAACACCTCACAGGAATATCCAAAGATGCATCTCTTAGGCAATTGTCTCTAAATCGAGACAATGAAAGATTAACCATCACAGGGTGATAGGACACGCCAACTTAGAGTCACCAATTTCATTAACTCACAGATCTGAAAGCTAAAAGTCCGAGCAGCATGGTGCTGGCACCAGTGAAGGCCCCACTGGCTAAGTCACCTCATGGTGTATCACAATGACAAGAGCAGGGCACACATGAGGATGCCTGGTGACCCATGAAGCCAGCGTCAGAGTCGGAGGAGCTCTGTTATGACAACTGACTCTCCCAAAAAGTAGCTCAGAGTCTAATAACTACCTCGATCCCATCCAACGACTATCTTCAACAACCCGACTAGCTTCCCCTGAACTCCATCTCGTCAATGTCCTACTGCCATACATAAGGAACATAGCTTCCAGCAACGTGAATCCTTGAAAGACACCCACAAACCATGTCCACACCTTCACACTTCCGTTAAGAAGTGCCCAGAAGAATAATATATATACAGATTTTAAAACTCCACTGGCAAACCCCAAATAAGTCCTATAAACACACTGTGTCTCCCAGTGGTAACCCACTATAGTGAGTGAGGAAACAAAGGCGCGGGGTGGGGGGTGGGATTAACTAACTTCCTTCTACTCCCATGGATAATCGTCGCATGGTGGGCCAAACGTTCATCAGGTGGGTACTCTTCCCTTCCGGGCAACTAATCATTCACAGCTTTGAAAGATTAGGGATCTTTGGGAAGGGCTTCACTTCTCTCAGTCACATCCTCTTTCCCCTGGTTCCCCTGGCAGATCCCTCTAAGACCCCCACATAAAATCTTAAGGGAAAGCATCGGCACTTTAAGGCTCCATCTTAAAGAAATGAGAAGGGGGCGGGGAGTATTTGTCCATGGGAACCAGCTTCTCATTTTCCTGTTGTTCTGCAGGCCCATTGCCATCTCTGGAATATCCACCATGACAGGAGGGGGGTGAACATGTTCAGTCGCCTATTCCATAAAAACTGCCTGCAGCGTCACCAGTTTCCATTCTGAAACCAGACAGACTAATATCTGCTGAGACTCGAGCCTCTAAATTGAATTTTGTCTTAAACAACATAGTGGTACATTTTTGTGGGTGCTGCAAATGAAGGGAAAAAATGTGTTTGGACAACTTGGCAACTGTTTCTGTGCTTCTCATGTAGGGTTTGGATAAAATTCCTCAACTGCTGGGTTTGGGTTTAACTCAAGGGAACAGTGGCAAATTTTTTAAATGGTTCTCAGTTCTTCCATTTTACATCAATTTCCCATCCGTAATTTAAATGTTTATCCAGTTAAATGTAATTTGGTGTTTAGTCCATACAGCATTTCCTTGAGGATTCTGGAACAAGTTGGTTATTTTAACGCTTTAGGCAGAAAACGGATCACTGAAATTGCCTCTCAGATAACTTGACATAGGATTCTCAGGGGAGCCTCTGACCCTGCTGCTCCACCACCGTGCTCCCGGGCTTTCCTTAGTCTCAGTGTCTGCCTTGGAGATTCCTTAAGCTATTGCTGGTGACTGGTTGCTGTTGCGGTGTAACTTTGATTTTCCCCACCCTTCTTTGGTTAAAATATTAGTGACTCTTTCTGCCATTTTTCTTTGAAAACTCATGAATTGCTTTCATTACTATCATCATTATTATTACTAACTTGTGCTTTTCCATCCAGGATTTCTCTGTGTAGCCATGGTTATCCTGGAACTCACTCTGTAGACCAGGCTAGCCTCAGACTCAGAGATCTGCTGCCTGCCTCTGCCTCCCACGTGATGGAATTAGAGGCCTGTGCCGCTACTTATGTTTAAAGATTGTCCAACACCAAAGAGATCAGGAAGAGAGTTTTAGAGCACAGAAAGGTAGTTAGCTGAGTTAGTTGACACCTTAGCATCATTGACAAAATGAATGAGTGCTCCAGCCCGTTGTTATCAGGGCAGTGAGCTCCTGTCACTTAGTTTCTTACTCAGGGGCTGGGTCTCTGCTGCGCAGAATGGAAAGTGACCAGCAGACTGAAAGTATGGTAGGCAGAAGAGGGAAAATGGCTTTTTCTAACTATACATCTGACATCTATAATGTACAAAGAGCCTTGA